TGGGGTGGGGGTGTGATTCATCAAACATGTCGAATCATGAGGGTCTATTGTACATAGTTTAACTCACTTTCATAGCTCGAATATGTGATTATTAGGTTATATGACAATAACTTTACTAGTTACGTTAAGACTGTTCACATACACTCTTTCTCTTTTTCAATACTTGATCGTTTTAGAATCGACTTCATATACATGCAAAACTAAAGAAATTAGGATTTGAAGTTGGTAACTTCAATTATATGTATCTAAAGTTGGATTTACTAAAATGTAGCTTTATATTTGTATGTTTGAAATTGGTATATTGCTTGTAGTGTTTGAACTTCAAACATTTAATTAGGTCTGAAGTTAAGCTTGACACTTGACCGTTTAAACTTTAGGATTGTATATTTAAAGTTGCAACTACCATATCTCTAACTTCAGACTTAAACATTTCGGAGTTAAAATTGCAAATTTGAATCATACGTATTTAAAGTTGAATTTAATAAAATCTAATTAACTTCAAATTTTCACGTTTAAAATTGATATATTGCTTGTGGTATTTGAATTGCAAATATTTACCTATGAAGTCAAATGGGATTTCAACTTTAGACATGTAAGTTTGAAATTTCAAATTTGAGTATTCTAAACTTAAAGTTGCAAACTTTAATTATATGTATATGAAGTTGGGCTTATTAAAAATCTATCTTTAAACTTGTATGTTTGAGGTTGGTATATTCATCATAGTATTGTTCCCTTATGAAACTCAGCTACTCATTAATAGTATTTTCTTGCATTTACTAGACAATGGAACAAATAAAGTTATAGTTTAGCTTGTATAATTAAATGTTCAAGCTTTGGAAAATTAGTTTTTTGTTTGGTTATGTAACGAACGATGACAAAAGTAATAAAGGCGAATCAAATAATATTTTTGTGGAAGTGTCTCCTTCATATGATAATGAAATATTTAATATTTATTTTCTCAATAATAGAAGTACTCTTAAAAAGTGAAAAATAAAATCGTGTTATTCATCTAAGTATGATCTAAATTTTTATAGTTGATTATGAACTTTTGAAAAAATAGACAAGATTTTCTTGTTCAAGAACAACATTTATGAAACTTCCTATAAATTGGGAATTAATGTTTTGAAATAGTTCATTTTTTTAACTATATAAACATGAACTCACCTAACAAAATGCAAGAATTTTCCTAATAAATTGTCATCATATCTCATTTGCAGAATTCAAGGTAGTTTATGCTTAAAATTTTGTTTTCCAAAATATTGGCTTTTCTTTTAATGCAAATCACAAAGCTCTAATTAAACAAACTTGCAGTGGCAATTTGTTTAACAATTTATTTTCCAAGATGCTTTCAAAGTTTAATACTTACTTCCATAATAATAGTTGTTCACTTTTCCTTTACGGGCTTCTTAATTAAATAAGAAGAACAATTTTAATAATTTACTCTTTAAAAAACTTTTTTGAAATTTTACAAATTTGTTTACACTTTCAAAACAACTAATTATAAGTGTAAATTTTAAAAAATAAATAATTAACATGTCTCAAATATTGACAAATAATTTGGGACAAAACTTTTATAATAAAGTGGACAATTAATATGAAATGGAGGAAACATATATCTCTCGTCTTTCAGAATATCTTAAATTTTGTTAGTCACATATTGTCATAGATAAGAAAAGTTAGTGTATTGCTCTACACATATTATGATAGAAAACTAGTTATATAATCATGGTGTATAATATGTTAATTTTGTTTTTTTTAATTAGATCAATTTTCTTATTCATATATACATATTATGTTAATTTATTTATTTTTTATATTTACTTCTTTATATTTTTAAATCCGTCCGACCTATAGCTTTACCTTAATATACGTACATGAGTTTCTACTTTGTGCTTCAATTCACATTTTGCATTAAATAGGCAGACATTAATAAAAATATTTACAAAAGCAGTAATTAATTAGTTTGGCATTTTATATATGTGGCTTTTTTGTTAAAACAAAATTGCAAGTTGTGGATATTTGGGTGTAATAAACTTGTATTCCTAGTAAGTGCATATTTTGATTTGTCTTAAATGTGATTAATTAAACTCGCGATATTGTGATATAAATTATAATATATTGATCGCTAAACATTTTCTAAAGAATAAATACAATGTATTTTATATGTGCCTTTTTTTTCTCACGTCAACGTCACCCATGTGGAATAAGAAAGTCGATTTGTCTCTTCAATATGCAAGTATGTTTAATAAAACTAGGGATGCGCATCGGTCGGTTCGGTTCGGTTTTAGGTGTTATTGGTTCGGTTTATCGGTTTTCGGTTTGTAAATACGCCAAACCGATAACCAAACCAATAACATATTTCTTATCGATTTTTGGTTAATCGGTTTATGGTACTTAACGGTTCGGTTTTCGGTTTAACCAATAAGAAAATACTCATATATATTATATACACGATAAGAAAATTTCAAATAAACCATATGATTTTTCCAGCATTTGGCATGAAAGTAATAATCATAAAAGTAACAATCATTTTTCTTGCAAGTTTAGACACTAGACACATTCAAAGGAAAAAGTGTGAAAGTAACAATCGTTTAACCATTAACAATAAGACTAGTAAATTTAGTATAGTCTTATTGGGTTATCGGTTTAACCATTAACAAAAATTATAAAACCGGAAACCGAACCAATAACCCAATAAAAAAAATTGCAAAACCGTTAGCCCAATAACCCAATATCAATAAACCAATAGTGTTTTTTTCGGTTCGGTTTATTGGTTAAATCGGTTTTTGCACACCCCTAAATAAAACAACTCAAGAAAAAGGACTCAATCTTAATTATTTATCTTCAAATTATCTAGACCAAGTAGAAAGAAATAATGTATCTGTTTGAAAAAACGACATAAAATAGATATCTTATTCACTTTTGTCCTAAACAAATAAGGTAAATAATAACTTTCATTTTTTAATTAGATATCTCAAATTTTGATCCTATAAATAGAGAAACTTTCAATGAAAACAAATTTCATGAAACATAAATTTAAATTAGTTAAACTTATGTTTTGTGAATACCAAATGCATACATAGGAAAAGAAAATAACATCTCCTTATATAAAACAACCTATAAGAAAACAAGTGTGCACTAGAAAACACAAAATCAATAAGATTTGTAGCTTTTTATTATTGGTATAAATATAAACTTATACATCTTCAAGTGTACCTTTAATAAATGACTTTCTATTTTTGGTATTTACACCAAATACAAAGAATCTTGAATATTATTTTTTGTACTTTTACTTTCTTATTTCTCAGCTTGTGTAGCCCTAGTAGTATTTTCTTCTCTTAATAGGAAAAAAATGTTAGATAAATCTGGGGTACATTTATTCCTTTAAATTTAAACATTAGCTTAAAAGAACGAAACAATGAGGAACGATCCAACCATAAGGAGGAGGAGACGCTACTGGCAAAGACTATCTTGATGATCTATTTATTTTTACCCCTAAGAGAAAGTCGTCAAAAAGTTCATTTCAGGAGTGAAAGAAAATCTGACATACGTAAATCATAATAATACGTGTTATGTGCATTCATCGTTTCTTATTCAAGTAAGGATACTGTTTGATTTAAAGATAAATTATGTCAAACTATTGTATGAAATAGCAAACTATTAATTCAAATTAACTGTTATAGCCATAGTTTCTTTTATTTGTAATTCGCAGCAAACATTCCATGTTTTTGCCATCTCATGTTTTTGCCATCCCATTTGTATACCGAAATATACAAATAGAGGATCCATTTGTCTACCGAAATATACAAATGCAGGATCCATTTGTATACCGAAATATACAAATGCAGGACCCATTTGTATACCAAAATATGCAAATGCAGAACCTATTTGTATACCAAAATATACAAATAGACACAAATACATATTTTTTTATGTATATGTATACCGAAATATACAGATTAATAGTGATAGCAAACATAAAGTTTGCTATGGAGTGCAATTATACAAACTATAGTCATAGC